AAGGACAAATCCTGTTCTTTGACAGATGCATACTCTTCAAACTTCAGTGACTACTACACACATCCAAAGGCAAAACAGAGAGCAAATCTTGAGAGCCTTATTCATGTTTACTCAAGCAAAATTTCCACTACCATAATTAAGGGTTTTGTCAAAACTAGGTTGTGTTAGACCACAACGTAGAACCTATGGCTCAGGAAGAGTTCATCTACGACCAGCAAAGAAGGTATTAAAAATGCCACTGGCAAAAAATGACATCAAAATCACATTTAATCACTGCCCCTAGGGGTGACTGTGTGTGTTAATATATAACCTCAAGGTTGTCTTCTTACACAACCTGATTTAGAAGACAAGTATCTATCTATCTATCTAGTACAAGATTATGATGCTATGTTTAATCTGTATTAGTCATACTCTTGAAATTAAAGTACTGTGAACTAAAAACACAGAATGGACCTCACCACATGACTGTCACAAATACTGCACAATACAGTACACATCACAGAATGCTGCTCTAGAGAAGCACTCACCAAAGACATCATCCGGATCTCCACCCTTTACAGCTCCCTCTGTGAATATGCACAGGGTGATTAATGAAAGCATTACTAGACACAAGGTATGTGGTTTTCTTAAAAAGCTTACTCATGAATGATATTATTGAAAGTAGATCTTTCTTCAGAACATAAAGTTACCTTTAAAGCATAATTAAACTCAGAAGAGAGAGACTGATATGGAATTCATTGAAAAGAAATACGGAAGTTCACAAACACTTTTTATGCATGTACTTAATTTACATTTTTTTTAAAATTTTCAAAACTGCAAACTCAGCCCAGAATCTGAAAATCTCATTGGGTTTTGAGTTAGTACAAAAACTATTCTGTGGTCAAATTTAACTATTTTGCAAGGAAGACTATAATGTTCAAATCTGGGCAACCATATCCACGTCTATCCACCTAATAAGTCAAACTATTTAGAACTGGGAAGCACAACAGCTGATCATGAATTTTCTGATGGAATATTCTTCCACTGGAAAATACTTTTTTGCTTAATGCAAAACATTTTACAGATGTGTCAATTTCAATGAAAAGTCATTTAAAACAAATCAAAACAGTTTATAATAATGTTGAAAAGTTCCATTTCAACATTTTCAGAATGGAACATGTCATTTTTCTGGTTTCAAATGACTTTTTGTTTAGAAATTCCTTGAATTTTATATTATAAAAAGTTTATTTTTAATGTTGTCATTAGAACAAAATACTTCAATGAATCCAAAACAAAACAAAACAAAAACTTGTTTTGCAGGAAATTTTGAATTCTTTGGTTTTGTTCCCATCCCCTCCTAAAACTTCAAGTGTGGCATTTCCCATGAAAGGGAAATCAGATTTTAGCTCCTATACTTACATACAGACTTAGTAAGCCCTTAGAGACACATATTTTCCCTAATGTAGGTTAAGTCCCATTAATTTCTTGCCCTGTTCCTTATTCATTAATAAAATAGATAGAAGACTTGCCTGATGTTGTCCTGGTCCAGCCTTGGGGGGTAGGGATGTGTGCGTGTACGGATGTGGGGCCAATCTGGTTCTGGGGCCGAGTGCACTTACTTGGCTGGCAAGATGGCGAGCCCCATCCCCAACTAGCCACTCCCTTTCTGATGCAATTGTCCCCAGTGGTCACTCTGCAATACAGCTATCCCTTGCACTCACTGCCCCTAGGGGTGACTGTGCCGTATCACGTCCCTCCAATTAGCCCCCCCCTTCCATGTTATGGAAAACTATCAAATTCCAGGTACTTCCCATTTTCTTGCCACAACCAAACCCTGAACTTGCTTTAAATTAGGATAAGACGACACTGCATACCAAATTTGGTGGTCCTAGCTTTTACATTTTAAGAGGAGTTCTTGAATAAACAGACTTTCAGAAAGACAGACTGACAGACTCACAAACAGACGCCTCTAAAATATATCGATTATTCCTTATATTCTTGCAGCAGTTCTATGTGAGATTGTAGAGAGTTATCAAGTCTCCATTTCCTCCAGACTGAACATGACTCATGTTTTTATATTTTCTCAAAGGTGTTAACTGCAGGATCTTCTATCATCTCTGAACTGTCCACATTTCTGTCTACTTTATTGTTTATAAAAGGCTGCTCAAACATCAGTGGAGAATTCAAACTGACTTTGTTCAAAGACCACTGAAGTCCTCAATAAGGCCTAGCCAGTATTCAGTAGAAAAGAGCAACTACCTGACTGGTTTCATTCTGGAGACTCTTGTTAGATTCTTGGGATGGATTCAGTATTAGGCTATCTGCTATTAATCTCATATAATTTATCATCAATTATAGCTCTCATGCCATCCTTCTCTGTAGTATTAGTGCCTAGCCAGTCTCCTTTTATTCTATGTGCATCGATTATTCATTATTTATTAGGATATGGGAAAAGTAATGTTACACTTCCCAGATTCCTGTGTCTTAATTTTGTTTGATTTTAGACTAAAAATCTGATAAATTGCAGGGAAGCTTTGAAATAAGAGGTTTTTTTAAGTGTGAATAAAAGCATCAGCCTATGACAGAGGTCTCCAATCTTTTTACAGCCAAGATCACTTTTTAAATGTCAGGGCAAGCCAAGATCTACCCCATCCCTTCCCCATGACCCCGCCCCCCCTGAGGCCCTGACCTTTCCATTCCCTTCCTCTCCATCATTTGCTGTCCCCAGCCCTTATTCACTCTCATTGGGTTGAGACAGGAGGTGCAGGCTCTGAGGTGGAAATGAGGGATTTGGGTGTGGGAAGGGGTGAGAGCTGCAAGCTTTGGGAGGGAATTGGATGCAGGAGGAGGTGGAGAAGGGGATGCTGGCTCAGGGAGGGGGCTCCAAGCTGTAGAGTGTTGGGGTGTTGAGCAAGCCGCAGGCTTGTGGATGTGGGGGTGCAGGAGTTTAGGCTGGGTTGCATGAGGGGCTCAGGGCAGCAGGGTTGGGAGTATGATGAGCTCAGGACACAGATTTGCGGTGTATGGATGGTGCAGGAATGTTGTGGCAGAAGACTGGGGATATGGTGGTGAAAGAGTATGGGGAAGTGAGGGACTAAGGGGGTTCAGGTGTATGATAGGCTCAGGGTTATGAGCTGTGGGGGGTGCAGGAGTGTTATGATGCTGCGGCCAGATGGGGGCTTGTTGGCCAGGCTTCATTTTTAAATAAAATATTATGTCCAACACAAAACGTTTCAGCATGGTCTTTATTTATGGGAGGGGTTTTAGATCAGTGGTCACTGACCCACAGAAAAATCAGTCAGGGATCATACAGATGAGATGCAAAAAAAAAAAAAAACCCTCCAAAATCCCTTCAAGCCTTAGTGATGTGGGGCCCAACTGCGACACCTCTCTCCCCTGGCACTCCAGCCCCATGTGGGGGGAGGAAAGATAGGACTGAGGTTCAAGGCCTCAGACCAGATTAACTCTTCTGGGGTTCCAGGGTTAGTGGATTTTGTGGGCCCCTCTACGCTCTGAGGTGGGGCCAAAAATAAGAGATTCAGTGTGCGGGACAGGGCTGCCAGTGAGTGGGATAGGGATGGGGTGCAGAATCTGGCTGGGAAATAGGGTACAGGAGCAAGCTTAGGGTAGGTGTCTGGGCAGAAGGGAAGGGACAGGAGCAGGGTGCAGTGAGTACGCTTCATGAGAAGTCGGATCTGGTGCACAGCCACGGGACTCTCCTCCCACCGCGTCACAAGAAGGAAGGCAGGCAGCACGGAGAAGGAAGTCCCACGGCTGCGCACCAGAGCCGACATATCAGGAAATTCGCCTGCTGTTGTGGGAGGAGGAACCCCACACTGCAGGAAGCCGGCGCTAGCTCCATTTTCATGGGGGGGGGGGAGGGGAGGAGGACTGAAGCTCCAGCACGGGCTCCTTGTTGGGGGGAATAAGGAGGAGTTGGGAATACCTTGTGATCAACTGACTGTGCCCCCACAATCAACCAGTTGATTGCGATCGAATGGTTGGTGACCACGGCCTATGATATATTAATCAATACGGAAATGATCAGCAATCAACTATATGCTAAAACACTATGCCATTTGTTGCCACCAACCAACTACCCCAGGAATAAGCAGTCCATAACAATCTTAAAATAACTGTAAATTACAAGAAATACTTTTTTCATTAGAGAAAGAATAAATACTTTGTTCATTAGAGAAGAGCAAAGCTTTCATTTTGGGTATGACTTTAATAAAAACATATTTTCTTTGAATATATAAAACTCAAAATAACAAGGTCATATAAACTCATTTTAAAGGCCTGATGACATCGCAAACCATTTGAGCTTCCCTTTCTTGGCTAAGATGCTGTCCTGATAGGTCAGTGCAACTTTATAATTCAGTCATCTATTCAGTCTATATTTTATTTGTGCATGCACACACACACACGAACACACATACACACACATATGCACATACCTATCTGTGTATAATATAGATAGATTTAGTACCTGTATACATACACTGTATATACACATAGCTCATTTGTTTATTCTTTGTACATTCAAAGGGTCCATTTATAATTAAACATTTTCGTATGTTTTTCTCATTTTGGCAATTTTGTTCCTGTTTGATCTTTGGTAGACTAGCTAATTAAAGACAGACATAGGACACAGGAAAAAAAAATCAATCTTCTCCTGCTTATTGACACAACACAAATACAGAATTAAGCATAAAACAAATTGTAGGCAATCCCACTGAAAATTCACTGATGGTTTAATAACTAAATAATGACTTCTGCTTTATTAACAGGTCTTTGTCACTTACACTTACTTGTGAATATTCATTTTACAGCTGTTTTGTAGTGCTGCTGTGCAACTAAATAGTATAACAAAGTGTTTGCTATCAGAAACTGCATTTGGGTGAAAATGACAGGATTACTATATTCATTTATTATTTACAGTAAATTCATAAGACACAACTGAGACATTTATACACAGCAAGTTAAATTAAGTTAGGAGTTTTGGGTTGGTTCAAACAAACCTTGACTTAAGCCATCCAGACAAGACACTTGTTCTACGTCTAGGGTCTCCACTGGATCTCCTCTGGAAACTTCTCCAAAAGATGTTTGCCTTTCAAAAATGTTATTGTTATTGTTAACCTGGCTCCCATTTTGTTTTAGCAGCCGGAAAACTTCAGCTTCCAAGTCTCTAATCTAAGAGAAATACATCAATTTATTAGCCTAATGAATAACTAGCATTTTTTTCCAGACTATCAGACAGCATTATCTTAGTCTTCAGACTTTTGAGTGAACATTACTCACACGAGCTTGTAAACCTTGAACCTCTGCAATGTGCGCTTTCTCCAGTTCTTCTATTTTTTTTCGCTCAGCTTCTTGACGTTTGATGAAGTCAAGCTCTCTTAAGAGAAAAAAAAATACATTGCTGGTATCAAAGCAATCACAGATTCAACCAGGAAATTAACACATTTACTGGCACAATGCACATCAATATACCCATTTATTTAAAAAAATTATCCTTGGTTAACAGGAGGTTTGATACTAATCTGATAATGATATACATGCAGCTGTAAGTAGGAGAAAACAAGTAAGCAGTTATTACCAAACCAAATGAAAAAAACTGTAATAATTTTGTGGAAACTAAGGAAAGAATCCCACTTATTCAAACTGTTAACAATAATTGTGTTGAAACAGTGATAAACTAAATTAACTTTCTCATAATTTGAATTTATAAAGCATCATTAATTCTGGTTATGTTGAAAAAGGAGGTTACTTACCTTTAGCCGTAACTAGCATTCTTGGAGATGAGCATCCCTGTGGGTGCTCCAGAGCAGGTGTTGGTGCATTCCAGCTCAAAGCAGTGCCTAGGGGGGCCACGCATGCACAGCAGCAGGGCGTGCGAGCGCTGCGCGATACAATTGCACATGCGCAGCCACCCTCCCCTTGGTTCCTTCTCTACCCAGAAACCTGGCTAGTGGAAAAAGAAGTCTCCGAAGTATAGGGGAGAAAAGGAGGGTGGTGGAGCACCTACAGGGACGCTAATCTAGAAGAATGTCTGTTACTGCTAAAGGTGAATAACCTCCTCTTCGAGAGAGAGATGTCCATCAGGCTCGGATGAAGGTAGGTGGAATATGAGCAGTGAAGGAAAGAACAACGAGAACGGGTGAAAACAAACTACTTCTTTGCTGAGAATGACTCTGAGAGAAGAGCACTGCTGAGCTCCATCTTAAGCCACAGATGGTAAGGAGGAACTGAGGGGAGGGTGGCTGCACAAGCACGATTGCACTGTGTGGAGCTCAGATGCCTTGCTGCCGTGCATGTGTGGCACTGCTTTGAAGAGCTTGGTTTGCAGTGCTGGAGAGCACTGACACCTGCTCTGGAGCACCCACAGGGAAGTCTCTCTTGAAGAATTTGCAGTTACAATTGGGATGGAATAGCTCTGTTAGACATGAAAATGACTATCACAAAGAGGTAGCCATGTTAGTTTCATCTTGGTAAAACAAAAAAGCAGTCACGTAGCACTTTAAAGACTAACAAAATAGTTTATTAGGTGATCAGCTTCTGTGGGGCAGACCCACTTCTTCAGATCATATTCTGAAAGTGAATAGGCATGACCATTTTATAACAGAGGGATACAATGGAAGAAGGTAAAAAATTTACCAACTAACAAATCAGCTACATAGAACAGAAGGTGGGGGCAAGGGGCGGAAACGACGAGGAAGGAGGAAATTGCTTACTGTAAGAGCCAATTAAGCGGCTAATATGGGGACAGTACAAATATCAAAAGGTGGGGAGGCGGTCTTTGTAATGTGTAAGATAATTATCATCTCGACTAAGGCCCATTCGCAACGTGTCAAATTTTTGCATAAATAACAATTCTGAAGTCTCCCTCTGTAAGGTGGTGTTAAAGTCTCTTTGTAGTAAGATGCTGACAACATGCTTGGTCAAACGTATGCAACATCATCATAACAAACTGCTGCAGATATGGCTCTCAAACTCCAAGGAGGAATACTGCAAATTAATTCACTGTTATTCATTGAAAATATGCACAATGCTGACATTTTTCAGTAATAAAAAGCACAATGGTTTTGATGGTAGCAAAGTGAAAAATGTTTATCTGTAACACTGGGTGTCATATTTCAAAAGAAATACAGTTATACAACAAACATTCTCTATCTGTACACTAATTTAATCTTTGGCCTGTAGCAGCTACTTACTTTTGCTGAAAGTCCTTGATCAATTTCTTTGCTTTGTTGTATTTCTTCTCCAGAGCTTGATATTGGCTTTGAGTCTCTTTGAGGTGTTCATTCACAGTGTGACACAGCGTTTGGGCCTCAATCCAATAACTCTCTAGTTTCATCATCCTTTCCTTATTCTCCTCAATATTCTGTTGGAGCTGGGTCTTCTCTAGTTCCCACCTCACTTTCTCATTCTCTGCAGCCTGTAGCTAGATACAGAAATACAATGGGTTAAGAGTAAAAAGCTGCATTAAAATCAGTAATTCAAGACAGTATTTCAAAGTAACAGGAGTGCAAAACAGTATTGATTATAAAGGTTGTGAATTACTAATGTGAAGAGTATTCCTGCATAATGAGAACATTCTTATACCTATTCATCACAAAAGAATGAATAAGCTTAAATTAATTTGAGTCTTTTGCTCCGGGCTTCCACTGCAGCTTCAGTGCTCCTATGGAATGTGGTAGCATTTTTAAAATTCCAGCTTTCTAATGTGGGTGCATTCTGGTCGTGTGCCTGGGACAAAGTACAGCACCAGGAGTGTATTTTATCTCGTGTATCTGAACGGTATGTTAGAAATTATAAACTCTTTTGAACTTCCAATTTAATGCACCAGTTTTCACACAAAGATAATTTCTTATTCACTATCAGTGTAATTTAGAAAGTTAAAAAAGGCAGATCAGTATCTTAATACATGGACAGAAGTATTAGCAGAGCTCATATAAAATATTAATTTGGATTTTTTTAAATTGAACCAACAAGTTTTAAACCTAGTGCAGCACTTAATTTTAAAAACTGTTATAAGAATAGGAAAAGCTTGGTTCTAGTTTAAACTTGGCTTATTTTTTAAATCACCAAAAAGATTATACTGATAGAAAAATGTCCATTATATTACAGGTCTCTGTCTTGAAGGGGGCTGACTACTCATTCCATAATCCAGCCAATCACTAATGCACATGATTAACTTTAAGCACATTGATGTTCCCCACTGAAGTGAATGGGAGTTTTTCTATTGGTCCAACAGAGTCAGGATTTTACCCAATAAATTCAAAGTAGTTAATTCTTTTTCATGTGATTTAATATCTATGGAAGAAAAGTGCTAGGTAAAATCTATATATTAATTATTAGTAGTATTATTAATAATAATAACAACTGCAGGCTTAAGTGCTTGGCTGGATCAGAGCTAGATTGCTCAGGACCTTGCAGATATTGAAGATCCTACAATTTGCAAAAAGCAAATAATGTTTTATGCACCACCTATTTACTTATCAACAGCAGTTAACTTGTACTGGCAAAGCTGTGCTGATATCATAAATAATGTATATGCATAATAACATGTGAACCAACTTACTGTTTTACTGATACTTTAACCAAAAATAGCCATGGATCTATTCAAAAGGTCAAGGAAAAATGTGTTACTAAAAAAAAAAAAAGATAATGAATCCTGCAACTGGATATGCAGAGGTGAATGCCTACACCCAGGATGTATTACAAGGAAATCAATGGGACTGTGCATGGGTGCAAAAATATAGGTATGTTGATGCAATTGTTGGATCAGAGCCTAAACTGAAAAGAAAGGAAGACATTTCTGGCTTTCTAAAATGAAGGAAAATGAGAGTTTACATAAAATGAAATAAAATTACAATTTCCTTTTAATAGTAACCTTAGCAGATCTATTTCATAAATACTAAGTCAATTATACGAGGGGTCTAGACGTTCGTAAGAAAAAAAAATCAGCTGAATGCTTTTTAAATTTTAAAAATTGCTCTTTTGTCTTCTTTTTATTTTCTTCTGTGATGTACATAATATATCATAAGACCTATTACTCAAAAACAGAATAATCATAAACCAAACTCCTCATAAAGGTTACACAGGTATAAAAATTCAAATATAAGAAAATACATTTTCTGTACATTAACAAATACAATAAAATTGTTAAGAACCAATTGTGAGATAATTTCCTCTACAAAATCAACCCATTTTTGCAATTTATCACATTTTAAATTGTATTCAATAGTTTCTCTTGTGTGCAAAAAGCCAATATTGTATTAAATCCTTTCAAATAAATTAATAGTTGATTGAAAGGAAAATAGCAAAAGTCTTAGGAGGAAGAAAAAAATAGTCTACAGATCTCTGCTGACCAGAAAACTATTAAGAAGGCTGCAATTATTCAATCAAAATATAATTTATGGTATTGTTAAAGAAAATGATAAGTACAGCATAAAGCTAAAAAAATTTCAGTATTTTATTACTTAGCACTCACATTTACTCAAAACTAATTATTGTAGCAATATCTCAATAGTTATGCTTTAGATTTTATTAAAACTTCTCCTAGAAGATTTAGACACAAACAAGCTTTAACTGAGTTTCATTTTAATTTGTCTTTCCTAATAAAAGCTTTGGTTTACATCCAGATATGTGTCTTTTC